GCCAGTAAACATACATGAATTGCAACTGCCATGTTTCAGTAAACAGATTCAAAATACTTTCCAGTGTTCACTCCAGAGTGAAGATTTTATGCAAAAGAGATGACTGAAAGGATATTAATATTGACAAGGAAGATATTACTTTACCTTTTTATTTGGTATGGAGTTTGGTTTTGTCCCCTGAAGGGATGACGGTAATATTACTTTCTCTTTTCTTGTCTGTCCTGCAGCATTCACTGTCAGACTTGGAACTTTATGTTGAAAGGGTGCCTCTTCTGATCTTACAGCCTTGTTTAGGTCTGGAAAGAAAAAGATGTCAAAAGTGCAAAAACCTAACCATAATAGATGGATTAAATGTGCGTTGTTATAAAAAGATATTAACCTGCTCCAAACTACATTCTGGAAGGCAGGCTTACCTGTTGTGCTGCTGGAACCTTCATTTTGTTTGGAAGGAGCCTGCAGCAGAAGGCCAGGCAAAAGTGATGAATCGCTTGTAGTATCAAGAAGTTCAGCTGCTAACGGGAAAATAATACAATACTGAGACAAGTGTTTTTCATGATCATCATCATTTTCATAAACATGTGAAAAAAAATCATGCAGTCTTTGCCACTTTAATTTAGACAACCTTGGAAGGCTGTCTACATAACCATGAGGGGCTGGGAAAATTTTGCATATGTCACTTTGCTCCATTGGGCCACCTGGATCAAAAATGCCTATTGTGTGATTGGTCATTTCTTGTTCTCTGGCTAACTGAGCAACAAGCCATAAAGGGCTAAAGGAGAAGCTAATACAGGTCTTACAATGATTGCAAAATGAGGAAATATGGGAATTAGTAGTGGTCTGATAAAGGAAGACTGTTTTCCTGGCATGAATCTTTGCTGTGTATGACTTTTAATTTCAGTACATGACTTTAGTAACTTGTCAGGGCTGCTTCTCATGCAGAACCAAAGTATTCCTCTCAACTCTGTAAAGCTCAAACATAAGATGATGATTCACTCTTTCAGTGCTTCCAGTCAGCTAGTCCCTGCTTTCCTCCTATATCCTCCAAACGATCCTTAGCCTGCATGTTTTCTATTCTATATTGCTTTTGCACCAGTTCCCTCTAACCACTGAGTTTCAGAATTCCATCTCCCATTTTTTTCCCACAGCCATAGTAGTCTTTTTCTAAACTTGGCCTGCTCAGTTCTTGCTCATCTACCCCTAACTACTGCTTATTCCATTTAGGTTTTTCTTGAGAATTTTGCTCAATCCACCCCTCATTCATAGCACAATTCTTCAGCTTTGCATCCAAAGCTGATGGTGCTTCCACATTCAATTATGTCTGCAAAGGCTTCTTCCTCCTGAAGAAGATACAAAAATGTTGCCAGACCATAGATTACCTCTACTGAGTTTTTTAATCTTGTCTGGAGGGAAAGTCACGCTTTCTTTTTTTTGAACTGGAGGAAGTTCCATAGACAGTGCTTCCACATCAGGAAACTAGAGAAAAGTAAGAAAAAGGGCTTATGTTTCTCAAATAAACATTTAGAAAAAGCAAATAGCAGACACACTCCTCCCCCTGCAAAAAAAAAAAAAAAAAAAAAAAAAAAAAAAAAAAAAAAAAAAAAAAAAAAAAAAAAAAAGAAAAAAAAAAAAAAAAAAAAAAAAAAAAAAAA